ATTTCTCCTGAATAATAAAATTTTTGCGTTTCAAAACCTAGAAGATAAAAATACATAATTACATTGTCCATTTCTTTTTGCGAGCTTCTAGTGTTTAGGATATAACGTACACAGAAGATAGCGTTTTTGTCAGTTAGACAATAAAAATATATTCTTAAAATAAAATGAAAAAATATGCAAAGTTTGATATTATTGAATTTTCTTGTTTCCTTGTAAAAATAATATCCTTTTTTCCAGAGTTTTAACATTCCAGAAAAATACCTTTTTTACTTTTGAAACCAGAATACTACCTAAATCTAAATCTCTTTATTTAAACAAGATAAACAATTGCTTTTATGAAAACTTAAGGCTTTAAAAAAATTCCGGAAATACTTTCCAAACCAGAACAAATAAAATATATATGTTATTAGTATCCATTAAATGTCTTATTTTTTAGATATTTATTCTCTCAGTGATGTTTAAAAAAATACCAATGTTGTTCACTTTATTGATAAAAATTGGGTAATCTTATTTTCTATTTTCTTTGGCTATCATAACGAACTTTTTGCATCAAGCTGATATATTATTCATACTTAAAATAGTATGTTTGTACGTGTATATAGTATAGATATAGTCAGAAAAAAACGTTTCGCCGAAGTTTCCGCGAATTGAAAAGACTGGGCAATTTCTCCCTTGAATTTCTACGAATCGAGAGGGATGGGAAAATTTCCTGTTCGACGTCGACACATGCTCCCTCCGTGCTGATCGATTCAATTTAGATTGTCGCGGCGAGATATAGCGCGTACACGGGACGGGACGTGTCGAAAGACGGCTGCGAGTTGCAGCCTAATTCATGACGTGTCGCCGAAAACGGGTCAGAATTTTATCAGCCACAGGAGACGGCAGATAGCAGAATTTCGCAAGTTCTGAATGAAAGACTTTACGGCCGTCGCCTTGAGATATCACGCATAGCGAATCGAACGGAAAATGCTAATGAATTCAGTGAATTAAATTAACGACTGTTACGTTGCCAGGAATACGCAACCGTTTGATTTTATACAACGTCGCTTTTTCTTCTATGTCAAATATAATGCGCCAAGTGGCATTATACTAATTGTGCAAAAATTGCGATCGCTCGACCGTCGAGTAACCCTGACCGACGGCTGACCACATGGCGCGTTTCAACAAATTATTGGCCGTAATTAGCTGCACGGTATCGCAGATGCGGGCGAAATTGCCTTTGCGTCACCGGCGCGTTACGGAGAATAACCCTAAGTTACCGGTCGAGAATAGCGTTACACGACATGGTGATCTCGTTAATCGCGCGCGTTCTCCATCTCAAAATTAATATTGCGTTGATCCATAAGTTCGTGTGAATTTTTGTCTAGCTGGTATTCGCATGTTGGTATCAGGAGAATACTTCCACATACATATAGTTGGCCATCTATATAGGGGAGACCGGGGCTAGATGCTTTATATCTTAGAATTTCGAAGTTACAACTTCTCAGACAACTAATTGTTGCGACTGACTGTATAAATATGATAGAGGTGATTTTCTTCTAGGTATCGATGCCCGTCGAATATTTTGTTTTGTAATACAAGGTAAGCAACATGCAGCAACAAAGCCAACTTGCTCTGGTACAAGATTTAGTTGCTCAGAAACACAGAGTAAGAAGACCACGTATAAAATATATATCCTGATTAGAAGTTCCCAGAGTCTCCGCGGGAGGTTTCCACAGCCCTTCTGCCAGCTCTTAATTATGGGCCGACTTTACTTTGTTCTCCCATATGCTCTATTTCAATCGTTTATGAGAAAAAATTGCATTTATTACTAGAAACAGTATATTATACATTTACAAGAAATTTCATTCTAGCTAGTGACATATTAGTTAATTTTATTCAGACACGATGAGGAATATTGGTGCAAAATTCGAAGTGGCTCAAAAATTTATTTTGATATTACCAAATCAGTTTTTTTCTATTTCTTAACTATAATATTACCCCAATTTTAGTAAAATCCAGAAAAAAGTATTTATATTCTAAAAGTCATTTAGCGATTTTGTGTACTCACTATTCTTCTAGATAATATTATATAATATAGATAAATATTAAAAAAATGCACATAAGCGACATATCCCTGGGGCTATATAGTTCCTACTTTGATAGCTGACATTTCACAGCATATTTCGTGGTGGAAGTGATTAAAAAAGAATAAGTCTTTAAAGAAGCACAGTTGCCTTTGTTACGGCTTGAAAGTGGAAGGCAGTAAGTTTGTCCGGTGCATTACGCTTTTTTACTTTTGTAAAAATTATTAGAGTTTGGCTGGGATATTTTGCCTTACTCATTATATTCACCCGACATCGGCCCCTCCGATTATTATCTGTTTCGCTCATTACAGAACTTCCTTGATGGTATAAACTTCACTTCTTTAGAAGATGTAAAACATCTTCTTTGAACGTTTATTTGCCGAAAGAACACAAGAGTTTTACGAAAGGGGAGTTATAAAATTACATGAAAGATAGCAAAAGATTGTTGTACAGAATGACATACATATTGTCGATAAAAATTGTTTTTAACAACAATAAAATACATTTCAATTTTGTTTAGAAATGTGCACGAACTTATGGATGTATCCAATAAATGCACTTCCGCGAGTCGCCTCCGCGACGTTTTAAATTCGTTAATAGTTGTTACTTGAAACGACTTATTATTATTTGTCTCTCTCACGTGAAAAAATAAAATCTTAATTTAAAATTAGGTCGAGTTATTGTTCGAAAGCAAGTGGAGTGTCATATCAAAACGATTTGGTGATCAAAATAAAGTGACCAGACGTTCCGATTTTTTCGAATATTCCTCATCGTGTCTGAATAAAATTAACCAATGTGTCACTAGCTAGAATGAAATTTCTTGTAAGTGCATAATATACTGTTTCAAGTAATAAATGCAATTTTCTCTCATAAACAATTGACAGTCTCGATTTCTCATCTTTCGTCCCAAATTTTGTCGAATGCTATTCGGAACACCGATTTGTCATCATTTTCAATGGTTGTCAAATAATTTTCGGATCTTTTTACCCCCTTCCCTCTCCCCGTTTCACACATTTATGAAGTGTTCCGAATTCAAGGCTGGAAAATCTGGTCACCTTACATATACCGCGAGGAGAAACGAGAAGATTACTTACAAATGACATCTTGATGATACGCCCCGGATACGCCATGATCGCACATCGCTATTCTCGACACTCCTGAGACTTATTAACGCGCGAGATTCACTTTCGATGGATAAAAGATACGAGAAACGCGGAGCGATGTGAATCGATGTGTGTCCATGGCTGCTGCATGGCGCGAAAAGATTGAGCATTTCGCGCGATTCATTACCAACGCCTAGATTGAATAATCACGATGACAACCTCGTAGTGCGAAACGAACGCGATTGGTCTAGAGTGGTTAGTAACTCGAGCGAGCGGTTAAGGCGCCGTACAGATCGCGTCGTTGTAGACGCGCGACCTCGTTCGCATCACTGGCGTGTTCTCACATTCATGCACTTTTGGCACTTTCGGCGCGCTAATAAACTTTTGGTGTACGTGATTGACAGCGCGCGTTTCTGCGATCTTTTCATGCCGAGCAACTGCCATGGACACGCTCCGTATTCCATACGTCTTTCGCTTGTGTCCTGTGAGTCTCCTGCGGAAATAAATATTAGAATGCCGAAAACAACGACGTGTGGTCGTCAGGACATATTGTAAGTACACTATTACGGAGTAATCTCCTCCCTTCTCGACACATACAGCTAAGATGACCAAACTTCCCGATTTTTCACCCTTTGTCCCGAATTTTTTCGAGTGCTATTCGGAACACCGATTTGTCATTATTTTCAATGATTGTCAAATAATTTTCGGATCTTTTTATCCCCCTCCTCCTGCTTCACATATTTAGGAAGTGTCCCGAATACAGAGCTGGAAAATCTGGTCACCTTAGATAAAAATGCTTTTAAAAATATTTCCCAGAAATAGACTAAGAATTTTTGTCCTGAATTTGAATGTTGATATCGCTTGCTTTCGAACGATAACCTGTTTTATATATATTCAGCACATAGAATATTAATACTTTCGAGTATTACGATTTATCGAATTTGCGCAATCAATATTATATTCGACGCGATCAACAGTGTCATATATAGAAAAAAAAATATTTAAGAAATAAAATGTTTTATTCGTTGGACATTAATCAATTAAGATTTTTTTGATTAAAATAATCCGCAAATCAATATCGTTATATAAAATCACAAATAATCTTATTAGTTGAAATTAATCCTTAATTAAACGTTTTGATATGATTAATTATACACTGATTATAATAATAATTAATTTTATCAATTAATTAAATTATTATTTATTGTATATATGATGATTGATTAATTGATTTGTTGATTATTTCAATCAAAGAAAATTTTAATCGATTAATGCTTCAACAATCATTCGTACTAATACACTGAAAAAAGAATTTGTTTGATGAAAATCAAAAATTTGGTTAAAGTGGGATGAGCCAAGTATCTAATAATTACAACAAAAAAAATTAATTATCACTATTTTGCTTTGTTTTCTCAGTAATATATCTACTTAGTCACTAAGTAAAGCAAGATAATGGCAAATAAATTTTTCGACTGCAATTACTAAACATATTTGGTTGATTCTATTTTAACCAAATTTTGGCTTCAAGAACCAAATCTTTTTTTCAATGTAATATATTTACTTAAATATAAGTTCTTTTATTTAATGAAAGTAAACATTGCTTTTTCAAAAAGCTAGACGATTTTAAGAAAATATATACTTCCTCGTTAAAAAATGTTTTTTAAAGCGTGAGAGAATATGTATTTTACAATATAAAAGTAAATATGGTATTAGCATACAAAAATATATTGTTTACTTTGCAGATATTGTTCCCTCAATGTAAAGATTTATAGTGATAAACACCAATCAATGGCGATCCGCGTGTATCAATGAACGTGTGTATATATCGTACCTCGTGATTTTCCGCCTGTCGTTAGGATGCAAAGTGCGCGCTCTCTCAGGATCAAGCTCCATGAGTTTCTGGTAGAGCTCCTCGTTGCTCTGTTCGCTCAACTCTGTTCGCAATCTCACGTCGAATTTGCACTTCTTCTTCGGCGCTGCCTCGTCGCCGTCGTCATCGTCGTCGTCGTCGTCGTCATCGTCTTCGTCGTTCTGCCGATCGATTTGCACGCTGTATCGATTGTCCGATCTATCCTCGATCGACGCGCTCGGATTGGTCGCGCTTGAGTCGGCTCGCGCCAACAGATTCTTTGGAGTGGCTATCAGGATATCCCATAGCAGCGATTCTATGTAATAGTTCGTACCACCGACCACGATGGGCAGTTTCTTCTTGGCCAGCAGGTTGTTTATCTACATCGATAGAAGGAAGAGGAAAGAACAGTCGGGGGAGAGCGTAGAAACGAGCGGGATCGAGTGGCTCGCGCGAGAGACCGTGGCTAATGATCGTATCAAGGTCTTCGCGAGAATCAGGGGCGTTTCGATTGGCCTGGCTTCGTCCAAGACCTTTATTTTACGAAGTCGACTTCGCGCGATCCGTTGCCGAGTCGTCGTAGACCGCTCGCGATCGCAAACTGTGCGCGAAAAATTATACCACAAATCTCTGGCCGGCGCAATTGTACACGGAAACAAAAATTTTGTCGGATGTGAACCAATTCAGAAGTGAACGATTTAGAAATTCCGGTCGAAAAATTATCAGGATTCAGTCTGCATTATCAAGATCTCCAATGAACTTAAATGGAAATGGTAATTTCAATCGGAATTTCGGAATTGTTCATATTTCTCTCACCAGAAATCGGTTTACCCAACCAAACCTGTTTCTTTCTGTGTCATATACTGAAGGAAAGATACTTGAACATTTATGTGGGATATAAAGTTTATTCGTGGAAATAAAGTCTATATTTTACAAAAATAAACTCTATATTTTTCATAGATAAATTTTCAAAAATTTCTTTTCTCAGTGTATATGAAAAAAAATTTCACTGCCACACCTAATCATGGTTTGCTAAAAATCTTTTGTTGTTGTAACTAAAAATTTGTTGCTGTAACCAAAACCTTTATTACTGTTACTACTACATCGGTTTCATAGTTAATATATATCTACTGCACTGAAAAAAGCATTTGATTGCAAAGCATTTGAAATCAAAATTTGGTTAAAATAGGATTAGTCAAAATTTGGTAATTACAATAAAAAATTTTAATTGTCGCTATTTTGTCTTACTTTCTTAGTAATATATTTACTTAATCACTAAATAAAACAAAATAACGACACTTCAATTTTTTATTGCAATTACTAAACATTTGGTTGATTTCATTTTAATCAAATTTTGATTTCGACAACCAAATTCTTTTTGGCAAGTATGCAGCTATACTTTTAGACATCCATATATTACAAACGAGATTTAGCTACTACATACAGATTCTTCCCGCCGCAACTTACTTTCTTTTTCCGTATAATAAACGATAAACGACGTGCCGGCCGCGAAAGAACCGCAAAAGAGAAAGTAATTTTTTCACGCACGAAAAAATTACTTTTACATTTGGGCCTAAAATATTTGGTATGATTTGATTGGCACTGCATACTTTCTACTTGTATCAAGTAGATGTATTATTAAAAAAGTAAAACGCACATAGCGGCAATTAAATCCTTTGATTGCAATAAATATTTGATTGATTCCATTTTAAGCAAGTTATATGGTTTGGTGTAGCAAATTTTCGTTTCGACAACAAAATCCTTTTCTCAATGCTCCCTACGACATTTGATGTTTGCACTGCAAACCCAGGTGTGTTATTTTGGCTGAATATCTTTTTTTACATGTTTTTCAACCGCGATTATTATTGCACCGGCCATTTATTTCCGACAATCTTCCGATAAAACGATGTGTCGATAAAACCCCCGAATTACTCCAGATATCCACCGAGCCAATCAAATTCACGAACTCGTAATCTCCCGAACGATACCTATTGTCGCGATGTTACACTGGAAAAAAGATTTGGTTTTCGAAACCAGAATTTGATTAAAATTCTGGACCAACGAAATGTTTGATAATTGTAGAATTCAATCGCCGCTATTTTGTCTTGTTTAGTGACTAAGTATATTACTGAGGTATAGTAAGGCAAAATAGCGGCAATTAAATTTTTTTATTGTAATTATCAAACATTTAGTTGATTCCATTTTAACCAAATTTTGGTTTCGTCAACCAAATCCTTTTTTCAGTGCAATGGCGATCGATGTTAAACGCCAGTCGTCTACGTACGAATGCATAAAAGAAAATGGAAAAAAAAACAAGCCAGAAAAGGACGAGAATGATGAGAGGATTACGATCGGTTGGGCCATCTCTCTGAATTGTATGACGGTGAAATCGGTGAGCGGGTCCACCACGTCCAGCAAGTGGTGCGGCGCCATTTGTTTCTCCGCCGGGGTCACCTTCGCGGTAACGATATCCAGGCCCTTGTACACCTGCGAGAAGCCGGCAAAGAATCGGCAGTAATTAAAAGTAAAATAATGAGAGGCAGGCGCGCGCGCGCGCTACAAAAGAACCGAGTAACGGCTGATAAATAATGAATGAATAGAAAATAATGAAAGATCGAATGATTCCGTTAATTGCGGCCGCTTGTGCCGCTGCTCTCCTCACGGTCGGGGATAAACGCGTCGAATAATGCAGAGGCGCGACCGCGTGGCCAAGTCGGGGTCGCAACTCGTGTGTCATACATTGAGACAATTATTTTTGTATTTGAAATATTTCGTACAGACGATTTGACTATCTTTTCTCTTGTGTCATACGGGATGTATAATACTGAGAGAAGAATACCTAAAAATTAGTAAATATTTATTTTATAAACACTAACAGCGTACATATTTACTTAAATCTCAATTCTTTCGGTTAAATATCATAAAAAATCGCTTACATAAAAATCTAAGGTTTTAAGAAAATATATATTTTCCTATTTTAAAAATATTTTATATTGTAAAGTAATATTTTATATTATTAAGTCAATATTTATGCTGTTAGTATCTACTAAATGAATACTTACTATTTTTTAGATATTTTTTCTTTCAATGTGGTGAGAAAGCAAAACACACAAGCGGCAATTAAATATTTTGGCTGCAATTGCTAAACATTTGGTCGATCTCATTTTAAATTTTGGTACGATGCATTCGTTTTGACAATCTTATAAAGTAAAATTAAATTATTACCATTGGATTATCAATTCTTTTATTAATTAGTGTTCTTGAAGCAACAGATTTTGTACTTCGCATCTATTGGAGTTGTTTAATTGAAAAAAAATCTCCAAATCTAGTTTTTTAACTTAGAAAAAGAGAAGTAACAAGCAATAATCTGGCTCAATAAAGTTGTTCCAAATTCCATCAACTTTCATTAAAAAGAAAAGAAAAGCCTCGACATCGGTTGAAAGTTTAAGACTGTAGCCTTTTTTGAAACATGAAATTTCATTTGACCCCACTGTGCGCTAGGCGTCGTCGTCATCATCGTCATTGAGCGTGATCGATCGCGAAACGAGCGCAAGAAACGTTAATCGGACATCCTATTGGGAGAGAAGCTCCAATAAATTAATCGAAATTTTTATTCGCTCGTCGCGGCGGACGACGACGAAAATAGCGTCGATCTCTCTCTCTCTCTC